TCATCGTCTGGGAAGACCAGGTGATGTCAATCTCAAAGGTTTTAAATGCCCAGACTCATCTGACCCTTGCCCCAACAATCAGCACCATGGGTTCTTCTAAGCCAGCGGTTCTCAACCTGGGGGGTCGCGACCCCTTTGGGGGTCGAACGGACCATTTCCCAGGGGTCGCCTAAGACCATCGGAAAACACATATTTCCGATGGTCTTAGGAACCGAGACACCGCTGCAGTCTCCGGCGATGTGTGGGCGGGATGATACGCTGCTGTCACCCGGCCACACCTCCAAGATCGCTCAGCAGCTCCGCCTCCTCGCCGCTGATTGGCCACCGGAACTGTAGCTCAGGAGAGGCACACAGGCGGCCAATCACCGGCGAGGAGGTGGAGCTTGGAGAGGAGGAGCCAAGCGGCAGCGCGCGTACATCAAAGAAGACCGAGGGAGCGATGTTGTGAAGAGGAGAGCGGCCAGAGAAGGAAGACAGCTGACAGGTAAGTGAGAGAGCGAGCCCAGGCTGGAGCAGGGGTCAGCAAGGTAAGTATCATTGGTGTCAGTGGGAGGAATAGTGCCCCATCATTTGTGTCACTAATACCAACGATGGGGCACTATTCCTCCCCCCACTGACACCAACGATGGGGCACTACTCCTCCCCCCACTGACACCAACGATGGGGCACTATTCCTCCCCCCACTGACACCAACGATGGGGCACTATTCCTCCCCCCACTGACACCAACGATGGGGCACTATTCCTCCCCCCACTGACACCAACGATGGGGCACTATTCCTCCCCCCACTGACACCAACGATGTGGCACTATTCCTCCCCCACTGACACCAACGATGTGGCACTATTCCTCCCCCCACTGACACCAACGATGGGGCAGTATTCCTCCCCCACTGACACCAACGATGGGGCAGTTATTCCTCCCCCCACTGACACCAACGATGGGGCAGTATTCCTCCCCCCACTGACACCAACGATGGGGCAGTATTCCTCCCCCCACTGACACCAACGATGGGGCACTATTCCTCCCCCCACTGACACCAACGATGGGGCACTATTCCTCCCCCCACTGACACCAACGATGGGGCACTATTCCTCCCCCCACTGACACCAACGATGGGGCACTATTCCTCCCCCCACTGACACCAACGATGGGGCACTATTCCTCCCCCCACTGACACCAACGATGGGGCACTATTCTTCCCCCCACTGACACCAACGATGGGGCACTATTTCCCCCCCCTGACCCCAAATGATGGGGCACTATTCTCCCCTCCACCACACTGACATCAATGATGGGGCACTATTCCTCCCACTGACACCAATGATGGGGCACTATTCCTCCCCCCACTGACACCAACGATGGGGCACTATTCCTCCCCCACTGACACAACGATGGGGCACTATTCCTCCCCCACTGACACCAACGATGGGGCACTATTCTTCCCCCCACTGACACCAACGATGGGGCACTATTTCCCCCCCCCCTGACCCCAATGATGGGGCACTATTCTCCCTCCACCACACTGACACCAATGATGGGGCACTATTCCTCCCACTGACACCAATGATGGGGCACTATTCCTCCCACTGACACCAATGATGTGGCACTATTCCTCCCACTGACACCAATGATGTGGCACTATTCCTCCCACTGACACCAGTGATGGGGCACTACTCCCCCCACTGACACCAGTGATGGGGCACTATTCCTCCCACTGACACCAATGATGGGGCACTACTCCCCCCACTGACACCAATGATGGGGCACTACTCCCCCACTGACACCAATGATGGGGCACTATTCCTCCCACTGACACCAATGATGTGGCACTATTCCTCCCACTGACACCAGTGATGGAGCACTACTCCTCCCACTGACACCAGTGATGGGGCACTACTCCCCCCACTGACACCAGTGATGGAGCACTACTCCCCCCACTGACACCAATGATGGGGCACTACTCCCCCCACTGACACCAATGATGGGGCACTACTCCTCCCACTGACACCAATGATGGGGCACTACTCCTCCCACTGACACCAATGATGGGGCACTACTCCTCCCACTGACACCAATGATGGGGCACTACTCCTCCCACTGACACCAGTGATGTGGCACTATTCCTCCCACTGATACCAATGATGGGGCACTATTCCTCCCACTGATACCAACAATGGGGCACTATTCATCCCACTGACATCAGTGATGGGGCACTATTCCTCCCACTGCAAAATTACAGTTATGAAGTAGCAATGAAAATAATTTTATGGTTGGGGGTCACCACAACATGAGGAACTGTATTAAGGGGTCGCGGCATTAGAAAGGTTGAGAACCACTGTTCTAAGCAGTTGTCTAGAAAACTGAAACTGAAAATAGTTGACGCTCGCAAAGCTGGAGAAGGCTATAAGAAGATAGCAAAGCGTTTTCAGATGTCAATATCCTCTGTTCGGAATGTAATTAAGAAATGGCAGTCATCAGGAACAGTGGAAGTTAAAGCAAGATCTGGAAGACCAAGAAAAATATCAGACAGAACAGCTCGCAGGATTGTGAGAAAAACAATTCAAAAAACCACGTTTGACTGCACGATCCCTCCAAAAAGGCAGACACTGGAGTTGTGGTACACTATTCCACTATAAAGAGATACTTGTACAAATATGGTCTTCATGGAAGAGTCATCAGAAGAAAACCTCTTCTATGTCCTCACCACAAAAATCATCGTTTGAACTTTGCAAATGAACATATAGACAAGCCTGATGCATTTTGGAAACAAGTTCTGTGGACCGATGAGGTTAAAATTGAACTTTTTGGCAGGAATGAGCAAAGGTACGTTTGGAGAAGAAGGGGCACAGAATTTAATGAAAAGAACCTTGTCCAACTGTTAAGCATGGGGTTGGATCAATCATGCTTTGGGGTTGTGTTGCAGCCGCCAGTGGCACAGGGAACATCTCACGAGTAGAAGGAAAAATGGATTCAATAAAATTTCAGCAAATTTTGGATGGTAACTCGATGCCATCTGTGAAAAAGCTGAAGTTAAAGAGAGGATGGCTTCTACAAATGGATAATGATCCTAAACACACCTCGAAATCCACGGGGGATTACATCAAGAGGCGTAAACTGAAGGTTTTGCCATGGCCTTCACAATCTCCTGACCTCAACGTAATTGAAAATCTATGGATAGACCTTAAAAGAGCAGTGCGTGACAGACAGCCCAGAAATCTCAAAGAACTGGAAGACTTTTGTAAGGAAGAATGGGCAAAGATACCTCAAACAAGAATTGAAAGACTCTTGGCTGGCTACAAAAAAGCGTTTACAAGCTGTGATACTTGCCGATTAACTCTGCACGGTGCCCAAACTTTTGCAGACGCCATTTTTTTGTTTTCTGTTATTTTGAAAGTGTAAATGATGGAAATAAAATCTAACTTTTGTTGACATATTATAAGAATGTCTAATCTGTAATTTGATGCCTTTTGGAGATTTTTCCATCTTTCCTTGGCTTCTTTATGCACATTAATACAAATTTTTAGCTGGGGTGCCCAAACTTTCGATCCCCACTGTACCTATTTCCAAGGGTATTCTGACTTCTCCAATAACATCACGGATCTGCAGTGGCAGGGAAGTGACTCTAAAGTAGCCTTTATAACCACTTTAAGCCATCCCCTATCTGATTCTTAACAGTGAAAAAACTTACCGGACAGCTGTATTTTTTTTTTTTCTTCCCCTTGAACTGGACTGATATGTGTGTAGTGCTCCCCCTTTCCCCATATAGGCATGTGTAGTCCATATAGGCATGTGTAGTGCTCCCCCTTTCCCCATATAGGCATAAACATGTATACTTGGCCAATTTGAAGATGCATGTTAACATTGGAATGTGTCTGCCATTACCATACAGTTTTTGAATATAGCTGTTGCTAAAGTTGTGGGACAAATCGTAGTAGCTTTAACAATTGTTTTCATAGTGTACACAAAACATTAATGGACTCTTCTGTCTTCCGTATGTCACTGGTTATAAATCTATTAGCTCCCTGATGGTATTACATGTTTTAGTTTGCATGTGTTCAGTGGTACACTTCTCCATAATTAGGTCAGTATTTGTTGAGGTCAAGCAGGTTTATTTCCTTATTTGTCTTTCGTGCAATGAATGTTATATTTGGTTATGATATATGGCATGGTTGTTTATCTCCCATGTGTGCATTCTTATATATCCAAACACAAGTTATCTTTAAGTGCAGAAAACTTTCCATTACTGAGTTCCCATGGTTGGCTTTACACACCAGACAGAAGTATTGGTCAATTCTTATCCTGAAAAGTACAGTCAACAGTCACGAACCATCAATACGTTAATGTCATGTAGCACTGTCATGCAATTTCAGTGCTCTTTTTATTTTTTTTTCCCAGTTGGTTTTTCTAGATCAGAATGTTTTTGCTGTTCATTATTTAGACACCATACAGGGCAGAGTGAAAGCTTTCACTGCCTGTAATGTCTGTTTACCTCCGGGTCTCTTATAGCTGCCAAACCATTGTGCGACCTCAGTTTGCTATACAGGAAACGGGTGCGTGATTCATATTTTCAGTAACTGCTTTTTACAGCGGGACTTCTTTTGTATAAAACATGTCACAAGGCACTTCCTTTGTGCTTTTGGAAGCTATTGTTCAGCTGCGTTTTATTTTGTGTTTTTTTTTTTTTTTGTTTTTTTTTTTTTTTTTTCTCCTTTTTTTTTTTTTTTTTTTTTTTTTTTTTTTTTTTTTTTTTTACATCATAATGGTTAGATCTAAGGCAAAAATGAATATTTTGTCTTTTGTATGTGGGTTGTTCAAAGTTTGAAGCTTGCTACAACCTTCTCTCACTAGGAAGAGGCTTTTTCTGCACAGTGCAGATACTTTTATCTTGCCAGCCACGCTCTGTGATAACTTAAAATAGCTACAATAGGGTTTGTGTTCCAAAATATACGTTTCTAAATGTGTTTCCTCTCAGCCTGTCTGAAAAGTTTTTCTTTTTAGTTGCAGAGCACAGAGGAGGAGCCTTCCCAAGTTCCGCCTATAAGCCAGTTGGCCTTGGAAAAGAGCAAAGGTAAGAGGTTTAATTTCTTCTACCTAGAGGTTTTGTTTCACTGTGACTAGTTAAAGGATAAGTTCACCTTTTTATTAAAAATGAATAAATAAATGCACATTTTTTTGTAAGTAAAAAAAAAATTAGCATTCTTCTATTTTTTTTTACACTGCTGCCTGTATGGCATTGCATCTGTGATCAACAGATCGCAGGTGCAATGCCAGGAACTTGCAGACTCTGTCAGCTGTCTGCCCATACCTCATATGAGCAGGCAGTTACTGAATGGCAGGAAGAATCAATGATTTATGAGAGCACTCACCAGCGCCCTCGCAGCTCATTGAGAACAACAAGCTGTAAGCCGCAGTGGCCGACAGTAGTTGTAGTTTATTCATTCACGGAACTCTGTGAATGAATGAGTTGACCATGTGGGCAGAGTCCTGCAGAGTCACGCTGTTTTGAAATTATGATAGCAGGTGCGGGGAGAGAAACCCTTCACCTGTTGTCACAAGAAGGGGGAGGGGGGAAAAGGAGGCAGAAGCAGAAACTTGTTACATGTTCCACCCTAAATACAGGTGTAATGTGTAGCATGTTCTAAAGGTAAACTTATCCTTTAATTGGCAAATACTAAAGAGCACCTGTAACTTGGCACTAAATGAGCCATTCTTTGGGGTTTTGGAGGTTAATGCATTATATGGTACTTCCAACACTGGGGGGGTTTTATGTCTTTTGGCAGTGTTCTGTTTAAAGCAGGGGCAGACTGACAACTCATGGGGCCCCTGGGCAATTGGGGATCATGGGGCCCCTGTGTCCTTGCCCACACTCAAAACACACCCAAAAAAGCATATAAAAGGTACCAGGGGCATTTTATGGGGGCCCCCTACTGACCCCGGGCCCTCGGGCAGTGCCTGAGTGCTCGAATGGTTAGTCCGCCCCTGGTTTAAAGGTAATGCTAGACCTATGCACCTCCATATTTTCCTGTTAAGGCTTACAATCTATGAGCTATACTAACGAGCAGGGCCCTCTGTTTCCTCTTGTACCAAATTGTATTGTAACTGTAATGTCTACCTTCATTTTGTAAAGTGCTGAGCAAACTGTTGGTGCTCTATAAATCCTGTATAATAATAATATTTGAGAGATTAAAATGTATTTAAAAAAAAAAAGACACAAAAGGATCAAGCGATCTTTAGAAAACAGTGTACGTGGGGCTTATATATTCCTTTTTGACCTGTTCAGTAGGTTCAACTTCACCAGACACCTCCCTTTTTATTTATTTTTTTTCCTGGTTGGTACATTTGTGGAGGAGCATTTGCATCACCAAATCATGAGATTGCCTTCCTGTCCACAGTGGGAGAGTGTTTCTAGAGAAAGAGAGGCCTTAAAAACCAGTGCGAGTCCACCATCTCAAAGTCCCAGTGTGATTAACAGTTTTAGGCTTGTCCAAACCTTTTGCAGTCTGTGTTGGAAGTTAAATTAGCTACGACATGCATCTTTGAACTATTAAAAAAAAAAAAAGAAAAAAAAAAGGCACAAAATAAAAGTAAAATAAAAACTGACCAGAAGTGTTGATTGCTTATTTTGTTTACTAATAAAAAAAAATTGAAAAAAGAAGAATGTCTTGTACCCCACTGGGACTCTCTTCTGGAAAAACCCTGTACATAGATATTTTCTTTCCTTTTTTTTTTTTTTTTTTTTTTTCCTGCTGCATCAACCTGACTGTGAATAGCAAGTTACCAGTTTCAAGCTAAGGATTATTGGATTTTCTGTACTATAATACAATAATCAGCTCATAAACTGGAAGAGAATACTTGTTGCAAGTACCATTGACACTGGCTACTCAGTTTTGAGCCATTGATTAAAGGGGAAGCCAAAGATTGAAGAGTTCCAGACTTGTCTACACTTTGATTCCTGCTAGAAAGAGATGTGAATTATTGAGTGTTGCGTGTAGTAATACAAGCCCCTGTTCCCTCCTTCTCCCCAGTGTTTTTTGTTTGCTTCTTAAGGACAAGGAACTGCTAATGATAGATATATAATATATTTTTTTATTTTTTTTATCCTGAACATAATGCTCTTCTGATGTCTTAGATCAGGGGTCTCCAAACTGTGGCCCTTGCTAGCCTTTATCTGGCCCTTGGGGTACTATTCCTGTCTCTGACACCAACAAAGGGACACTATTTATACCAATGATGGGGCATTATTCCTCCCATTAATTCCAGTGATGGGTATTAATGGGAGGAATAGTACGCCATGATTATTTTTCACTGATGCCGGACCTGGGACATTCTCTACCCCTACTTTTTGCAATCCGTCCCTCCTAAAGTTTGAAAGACAGTACACCGGTGAAAAGTTTGGAGACCCCTGTCTTAGATGATTCCTTTTTGTCTCTACAGATAATCTGCTGAGAACTGCAAGTCAGCATTCTGATAGCAGTGGCTTTGCGGAGGACACATCGGGTGACTGCCTCCTAACAAATCCTCTACCGGTAAGAAGTTGGTACAGCTGTAAACAGAAAAAAGACACTAAATTATTGTAATGTGTAGATTAAAATTCTCAGAGTTTGCGTTCGCTTTAGAGAGCCAAGGCATCTGAAAGAAATTATTTTAAACCTGATGTGTTCTGGTCCTTCCAGCATAATAAGAGTCCAGGTATCCTTTCTGGAAAAGCACGGGGCAAGACTAGGTTATATACCAGCAGTGTGTGCTAGATGTTGAGCAGCATTGATTACTTTCTGCCAAAACCTTCTTAACTTACCTGTCTTACCTTATTTTAGTTCTGCCAAAGTTCACTGATAACATTCCAAAAAGACATTAGTGGCTTCAGTAATGAACAGCAAATGAGAGACTGTGTTTTTTTTATTATAATTGTAGTTTTGCAAATGCTGTATGTTATAGGACGTGAGTTGGAAATGTTAAATGTTATTAAACCCACAACAGTAAAGTCAGTCTGTATATGCAGGAAAGTATGCTTGTTATACTCACTATGGAACCTAAGGGGTTAATACTCCGCATTGTGTAAAAAGGCTGTTTGATCCTGTCTTCTCTGATCTTCCTCTTCTTCATAGTCCCCAATCCATCTGCTGATAGCTCAAGGAGGCACTCTGCACATTCTCAGTTTGGTGTGGTTTTTTTTTTTTTTTTGCATGCGAGGCCAATTGGCACTGTCCAGACAAAAGGTCAGAGGTCATGCAGCCTCCTAGGATGGACAGCCAGAAGAGAATGAAAACTCCTCCTAAAAGCTTTAAAGGATAAGTTCACATTTGACAAAAAATAATGAACATAATAACTTTTTTTGGCAGGTAAATAAATGTGCATTTATTATTTTTGTTTTTGGAGCCTCTCTAAAGCATTGCTCCAGCAATTCAGTGGGATGTACGGGCAAGCAGACATACTGACAGGAAGAATCAATTAATTACCACAGCGCCATGGTAATTCATTGGAAAATGCAAGCCGACAGCCGCAAAGGCTGTCAGGACTTGTAGTTCATTCATTCACAGAACACTGTAATCAGTGAAGTGGGCGTAAACCCGCACGGCCACTTTTTTTAAAATTGTGACAGCTAGCCGGGAGGAAAAGATTTCCCGCTAGCAGTCACCAGAAGCGGGGGCCAGTCTGTTCGTAACATGTTATGTTACACCCTGAATATGGGTGTATCATGTTACGAAAGGTGAACTTCTCCTTTTAACCAGTGCTCAGTCATATGCTGATAGAAATCATGTCTGCTATATACTGCTGATGAGAAGGCATTTAGCAGTTTATACTTACTAAAATAATTGCATTTCCATGTTGTGTGTACTGTGGGAGACCAGATATAGTGAATGCCGGGTCTGGGGTTTAGTAACACGAACATAAACATTTTAGAATATTGTTAGTAAGCCATACCTCCTGTACTAGTTAATTCCTATCTTTGTATGAAGCTCTACCCCCTTTGTGTAGGACTCTGTAAGGATGCTTGTATGATTGTTTTGTGTCATTAAATTCTTGAATGACAAGGGCATACATAAGTTAAATTCTCCCACTTAAATAAGGCAAGCACAAATATTAATTTTGCTTAATTTATTTTTCTGAATGCCTTTTCATTCTTCATTTATTTACATAACAATGACCTATTGCACATTCACATTAAGCAGTGAAACCTGTTTATCAATTCCTGCTCTAAAATAGTTTAATCATCCTAAAGCAGTCATATAGTCACCCACAGACATACAGCGGTTTTTAAAATACAAAATAATCAATTAACCCTAGTGATGATCAAATTAGATGTTCAAAGACCATCTCTTTGAGGATAGAAAAGGTCAAGGAGTATTGTTTTTGTGACAATTCATTTTAGAATAGTTTACTATATAGATTACTGTGTATGTGTATTAGCTAATGCATCTTTAATCTTCTATTTTTGGTTTATCAGGTTCAAGACTCTTTGCAAGCAATGGGAAGTAGTGCTGACAGCTGTGATAGTGAAACAACAGTAACCTCTGTAGGAGAGGACCTAAGAACCCCACTTGCAATTGATCAGAGGGAATCCATTGACTTAGAAGATGATGAGTTCTTAACTCCCGTTGACCGAAAATCATTTTTTGAGGAAAATGAAATAAGCAAGCAACTCTTAATGGCCAATACACCAGGATGCAGTCAAAATGAGGTGTGCAAGACTAGCAGGGACCTCAGCTCTGTTGTGGATAATGCTCAGGAGATAAGTGAGAAAGTTTATGATTTACAGCAGGACTGTACAGCAGATAGTGAGTTGGAAACACACAGTGAATATGATGATATTTCCTACACCACTCACCATATATCGGAAACCTTGGACCGTTTTTCTGACCATGACTGCTATCGTGGTTTTAGTAGAACTGATGCAAGCCCTGTGGATCGTGTTAATACTGCGCTACAAAGGGCTCAAAAGAAACTGTTTGGTTCTTCTGAAACAATAGGGACAAGACCTGGGCGTAGCCGGGTCTCTTCAAAGGATTTGCTGAGGCCGAGGCACATGGTATCGAGCTCTGGATACCCACTGAGGAGGACTCAGTCTTTGCCTTCTGCAATTTTAAGTCCTGTAAAAGTGGTTTCCAAAGTGAATATTGTCTTAAATTCTGGCAAGGCAACTATGTGTAGTAGCCCCCCATCATTTTCCTACAAGTATACCCCAGAAGAAGATGAATCCTTGGAACAAATAGATGAAGTAGAAACCTCCCCTAAATCTACAGCATACAGGTCCCCAGTATTGGATACCAAGGAGGCCCAGAAAAGTAACCAGGGGCAAGTGTCAGAAGATCAACTTAACAGATCACAATCCTGCACAATACATGTCCCATCACACAGGTCTCATTCTTCCTGTTCCCTCCACTCCCTGCAATCTGACTGGCATGAGCGACCGCTATGTGAACATTCAAGAACATGGAGTACCCATAGCGTTCCTAACTTTTCTGGTGCCACATGTGGTTCAGTAATGTCCCAGTTTTCCTGTCCACTTAATCAGAGGTTTGCATATGGATCACTTCAGAGATCCTGTTCTGGGTGTGCTTTGCCTTTAAGCTCACCACCGTCCACTACTGAAATGCAGCTACGCCGGGTCCTTCATGACATCAGGAGTTCACTGCAAAATCTTTCACAGGTAATTGAGCGTGGTTAGTAGTTCTTAACAATTTGTATAACAGCCAAATAAAAACCTCATTCCTTAAAATGAATTTAAAGTTTCTAGTTCTGGTTTCAGTGTTGGGGTGTTAAGACACCTAAGTTTTTATTGCTGCCTGTGTCTCCACTGAGGAAGTTCACACTTCCACAAGGAAGCCTCGAAATCCAAAAATTGTGAGTTGTCACTAGAATCTTTCACTTGGGGACACCTGTCCTGTGCAAGTAACAACAGATATTCCTCTTGTCACCTCTTAGTCTCCCCAGTGAGAAAACCCATAACAAAAAGCATTTTTTATTATTATTATTTTATTAAATTGTTTTGTTATTTTTTATAAGCTCAACTTTCCCAATGGGTCTGATAAACTATGTGATAGCATAGTGTAGGCAACAGGTTTTCTTTAGGGAGACATCAGGGTTGTATCAGCTCTCTGTCACATTTGCACTGTAGTATATAATAGGTGCAGCGATAAAACCTGAATGTCAAAAAATTAATAAAGTGCATTAATTTGACATTCAGGTTTTAGCACTGCACCTGTTATATACTATTGTCTTGGAAGGTTTATTTGGTACCTTTTCAGTGTTACAGCAGCTGGATATTTTAGCGCTCACTTTCCTGTTCGTGTTTTCAGTTCACATTTGCACTGTTTCTGCTGATTGAGCAGACTGTGCTCTCACCACTCTCCATTTTCACAGCCACTATGGAGGTTCCAGGTACCCAGGAGGGACAGCTAAACCGGGGACAAATTGCATCTTAACGCACAAGTATTAGTGATCAAGCAGCTCTAATCACTTCTACTACATAGCCAGGAGTGAAAATGTAAACCAACTCCTGGCTGCTATAGATTGTAGCCCAGTGTAAGCTCCAATTGCAAGCATAGAAGGAAAAGTATATGTGCTGTGCCTGTGGTGAAAGGGGGGGGAGGGGGTGGGTGCTGGTAAAGCACAGGTTCACCTAAACCCCTAAATCTATCACTAAATGTAACAAAGAAAAAAACCATATACTTAGCCAATCCTTAAACAGAACTTCCTAAATGTAAGCCCCATTTATCACAAACTGAATTCTCATGAAAAAAATCATTATTACATTATAAGATAAATAATTACCTGGAAAAAATCTTGGCTTTGAGTGCACTGTGGCAGATCTAAATTACACTTATATATTCAGGACTCAAGTACTTGTAATGGAACAGCTGAGTATTGTATGTGATGCTTTTATTAATTTTTTTTTTTTTTTTTTTGCAAGTTTAACTGTCGTTTTTAAGGGCACTCTTTCAAGATATGCAATTTCTCTACATTAGGTACAACTTTCACCCAAAGAAGAGAGTATTGCATCTTTAGAAGTTTCTCTCCTTTCATATGTGCACCTACAGTAGACAACTGCATTATAGTTCAATTATGTTAAATTTCGTCATTTTATGAAGACAACAAATAAACATTAAAGCGTGATCATTTTAAAATAGTTGTCCAAATAAAGTAAAGCACATGGGAAACCTATTATTTATTTTTTTTCAGTTGTAAAGAGGAAGTGACAAATGCCTAGGACAAGTGAGCCAAACTGCATGATGTGTGTTAATTAGCATGGAAACTAAACATAATATTTTCTCGTCATTTCAAACTGGTTCTTCCAGTTTTTAAAAGTGTAGTTATAGTAACATTAAGAGATTACAGAACATGCAAGGCTTAATTAAAGTGCATTTTATTCCACTATGACGGAACACACAATTGATGGAAATCTTTTAGTTTTTTTGTCTAGAGCATTGTTATGAGAATGTTTTAGCTCTCTCATTTGTAGTATCCATTCCTTCCAACATCCATACAGATTACACACTCTGCTGCCAATTTTATGGTCTTTGAGACCACACATGTAGAAGCACACAAGCATGCCATATTTAGTATTTCCCATCGGAGCCTCTTCAGTCCACCAAAATATACATGTTTTTCTTTCTAACATTACAAACTATCAGTCTGTAGGAGTATTTCTGAAAGTACATTACCAGATCAAAAGTCAGGTGACCATTTTTGAGTAAAAACAAAATGGGGAGATTTACGAACACTGGTGCACACAGAATCTGGTACAGCTGTGCACAGTAACCAGTCAGATTTTTGGGTTTTATTGTCAAAGCTTAAAGTCGCAGTAAACCTCACCCCCAAAAAAAAAAAAAAAAAAAATTGGTCCCGGGCAGTTTAAATCATAATGTGCTAGTATTCATCCCATACTAGCACATTATGACAGACGTACCTGAAAAACAAAGTCCTCCGACAACATGCTGTCATGGGTCCTAGCGCTTCCATCTTTACCTGGTCTTCATTCCGGGCACACAGGAATTTCGGCTGCAGCACAGAGTTTTGAATGGATGCCACAGTCCATTCACAGCCCAGTGCGCATGCGTCGTTGACGTCACTGGCTGCTGCTAAAGTTAATATCTCCTTAATGGTGCACATTTAGGAAATATTTACTGTACTTTACCTATAGGTAAAAATCAACATTGCGACTTTTCTTCCACTTTAATTGAACAAGCTGAAGATGGAAGCTGATTGGTTTCTATGATCAACTGCACCAGATTCTGTGTGCTCCAGTATTAGTAAATCTCCCCCATTATGTTTTTATCATTTAAAAATATATTGGATGCAGATTGCGCTCCTCCACACCTGTGTGATGGGCACAGTCATCCCAGTTTAGATGAATGTTGCAGGGATTTTGCTCCGTAAGGAAGCTGTTTTTATTTACAAACAGGCATTGTGTCAGGATACAGATTTGATGTTTTCCTTATATGTAAAATGTGTTTCCAGACTATGCATTCTTAAATATTTACATATTATTAAAATGAAGTAAATGAACTTTAAAATAACCCATTAATTACCTCTGTAGTTACTGGCACTGTTGAGCGATTAATCCTCACATCAGAATCAACGGAGTTGTTAGTCATTTTTCCAGCAGCCAATCTCACCCCGCCCCCCACAAGCCCCCTTTTGGCAGCCTTCTAATGTAAACACAGAACAGGAACACTTCAAGGGGGAAGCAGACTGAATTGAACTGCTGTGAGGATAACTTAAACCCGAATTCACTCTAGTGTAGCAATCTGAAATAAATAAAAATATTGCGCTGTTTGAAAACAACACCCGAAAAAAACCACTTAGCACTTGTAGCGCCATTCATTGTTAATGCCATCACAAATGCACCAAGAAGCACAGTTTTGCTCACATAGAAAAACCATGGAAACTCAAAAAGGTGCACGAGCATCTTTGCTAAATGTGTTTTGAGTAGGGCAACCAGTTAAAATGAATAGGCTACCGTAAATATGAAAAACAATGTCCATTTGTTTGACACCTGACATGCTGCTACAGTAGTGTGAATGGATGCTTAATTTTTTCAGTGCTTCTGTTGTAATATTTGAAGATAAATTGCTCCACAAAATCTGCAGCCACAGAGGTCAGTGAGGGCTTATGTTGAAGCTCATTTACTGTTTTTAAAACGTGTAATTACTTTAACCTGCCCTAGGTTTTACTTCAAGGCTTGCCCGTGGTTATGAGTGTTATGTTTTTGGATTGTCTTTGGAAATATGCACTTTTTTTTAACCTAGTCTCTTTTTTCCCTATGAGATCCCATAAACAAATTTACATCTAATATGCATTGGGTGTCTTTCTTTCATAGCATCCAGTAATGCGGGGGAATGACATGGCTTCTTCTGGCATGTATAACACCTCAAGGTCATCCATGTTGTCCCTTTATGAAGTAAGTTCTGTACAGTATGTGTGCGAAGTGGTTGTCTATCTCTAAGTGCTGGTTAAAGACACCTATTTATATGTCTTTTTTGTTCTTTTAGAATACTTTCCAGGAACTTCAGATAATGAGAAGAAGTTTGAATCTCTTCCGAACACAAATGATGGACTTAGAGCTGAATATGTTACGGCAGCAGACTATGGTTTATCAGCATTTGTCTGAAGATGAAAGGTAAGCTTATCTTCGTACTGTAACTTGGGATGTTTAAGGGGAACCTGTTAAATGTTGGAAATAGAAACTATGCATGACACAAACATTGCAACATTGTGTTAACCTTTCTGACACTGCTTCTTTTGTAAAAGCCTTGTCTAAAATAAGGAAGAAATTGTTCGGAGACACAACTGGCATAAGTAACTTCTCATACATAAAGTATTTAATACAACTGGATTCCTAAGCATTCTGCAAGTTTATTCCGTCATCAAAGGCTAAGTAATTTTAACCACAGTGGTCCAACATATGAACTAGATAGTCCAGTAGTAAATGATAGCTGTCCAAACATGAAAAACTTTGTTGCCTATAATAATGATCCAGTGCAAAAAAGCAGCCAGTCATGGCCCCCCAATAACGGTCATGTGCAATAAATTTTTTCAGGTTTGACCTTATGGTTGTCTTTTTTTTTTTTTTTTTTTTTTTTTTTTGTATAGCTCTTTATGTAACATTCTTTTGTGAATGCTTCCCTCTAGTGGTCAGAAATTAAGTTGCACCTTTTAGAATTTGCCTTTGGAGAGTCTAAAACTTTGATTTTACTATTACATAGTTGTTGCTTTGCCACATGTCATATATTTCTAAATGTCTGAATCTGCAGGGGTTTTGAATCTCAGGAAAATATTGTAAGTTCATAGATAAGTTGCACAGTGTTTGATGTTTGCAGACATTGATACTTTTACCTGCTATATCTGAATTCCAGCCATAAAAGCAAAGATAGGACTAAGAGGCTGTCAAAGCATTTTTTACTTAAAGTGGTGTTAAATCCAAAAGCAGGCATTCGTTATATTGCAGCTTACCAATTCTTCGGTGTGGTGGCTGCAGCAGCTTGCCAATTCTTCATTTTATTTTTTAGACTTTCTTTCCCTTATTTCTACTTGGTAATCCAGCCAGTAAGTCTGTTTTTCAACAGAACACGCTGTCTTGCATATGTAGCAGTTATAGGGATGAGACAAACCATTTACCATTGACAGTGGTGCTTCCAATGATCAACTTTTATTTATTTATGTAAAACCTTGATCTCAAAAGGAAAAAATACTGCTGCTGTAACTGAGTATAAAGTGTTGGCTGAAGCTCAGCTTCAGTTTTAGTATATCTGCTAGTACATCTAACACTCTCCTCCCCCCAGACTGACAAAGGTGGTGCCTGTGTTCCATCATCCAGAGTGGGGCACGCCTAGTACAGGAGGTGTGTTACTGGCCAGTTCTTAGGTCGGAAAAGCCTAAAAAGAAAACTAATGCAGCCACTACATCTAATGATTGTGAAGCTGCAATACATTATATTTTTGCTTTTGGGTTTAATATCACTTTATTAGGTGCCTCTCTGTTTAGTGTATGGGTTTCCTTTTGTACCAGCAGAACTGCTTTCAGTCACCTGGATAGCACAAACTGTTGGCAATGCCACTGTTCTGCGGGAAGGATTGCTTGTATGTCAGCTTAGTTTCATGATCCTCTCTTTAGTATGTGCTGGGGAAGGCCATGTATTTTTATTCAACAAGGACATCATAAGTAGACCTTAATCAGATACAAGGTCAGCTTTAAAGTGAAATTGTCCTGAATTTAAAAATTGCCAAAAATGACATGCAAAAAAGAAACTGTAAATACCCACACTGCTAAATGCTGGACCCTCAATGTCTGCTAGGAAACCAACACTTCCAGGAGAGTTGCTCTGCTTTGTCCTCTGCAGCTCTCACTGGTTCTTCCTGCTGAGCTACACTGTAGGAGACGGTAGTGAAATGGTGATTGGCAGGAAGAACCAGTGAATGCTGCAAAGAACACAAGAGCAACACTAGCAAAAGTATTGCTTTCCAAGCAGACTTTCATGGGCCATTTCTCTTAAAACTGAGCAGCAAGCATTTACAGTCTCCCTTTGCATGGTATTCTTTTTAGCAGTTTTGAAATTCATGACTTGGTTGCTTAATATTTCTCATGAATGTGTTTGTTATCCTTCAGAATGAAGTGATTCTAAAGTCAAACTGTTTTACCTTAATGCATTCTTTGCACTAAGGTAAAAACAATAAATGACCCACTAACTGCCCCTCCCCCCCCCCCCCCCCCCCCAAACTCCTAAACACAGTACCTCCTCTCACTACTTCAGCCCTGTCCCGGCTGCAGCACCACTCCTCTCACATGCTGGTTCAGCAGGAGACACTGAGGGCTGTGGAAGCCAATAGGCTGTGGCCTTTAAATATCACATAAGCCCTGGTTTACACCACTGTGGTGCTGAAGTGCAGAATTTAAAGGATTAAAGTATTGCCTTCTCCCTGACTGTCAAATGCCCTCAGAAAGGATCAGCACAGCTCACTCTTCAGAGAGAAACACCACCCCCATTGACTTTTTTTTTTTTTTAAACTAAAATCTTATCCTCATTTTAATTGTGGCTTTAATTTCTGTTCAAGAAATGCTTTGTGCCAAGCTTCCAGTTATATCTCATAGAACAGTTTCTGTATTTACATAATGCAATTTTGAGAAAATGTTACTATTGCTTTAGATAATGGTAACAAGCCATTATGAGACCACACAATGTTTGCAAGGATATCAAGTACCATTTATTAACAGAAGCAAATTTTTGGGTTAGACGAATACCTTGTGTTTTTGAGTTTTGCTATGCATTCTTTTCTTGAGAATGTGTGTATGTCTCCTTTATTTCCTACTTCAGCGGTCTATGTCTGCAATGACTTTTGAAGCAATATTTTCATATTCACTTTTGAAGCACTCAGCAACCTTTTGACTGATATCTGGATAATAAAATCAAAGCAAATATATACTATATTTCCCAACTCTGGTGGTTTACATCTTTTGCAGCATTGTTGTTCCATGTAAATCTCTGTTATGTAAAACAGAACAAATTGTTCAAGTAAGATTGAAATATTATCAATGGATGGTTAGATAGATAGTACATTTCCAACTTTGGCTAGATTCTGCCTGCAGAGCTTTATCGAACATTACCTTTTAAATATTTGGTTACATTTGCCTTGATGATGTTTACCTGCTGTTGAATATATACTCAGTTTGAAACTGACATACAATTTTACAGTATTTGAATCCATTTATTGGCAGTATTGAAGATGCTATATATATTTATTGCTACGAACATAATATTGTAACATTTAATATTGTTTTCTGTCTTCCAAAGTTGTTTGTTAATGTGTATAATAGCCTTGTCAGAAACAAGGCATGTACATCACAAAGAATGTTTCCAAGATCCTTCTTTGTTCAGCTGTGTGGAGGCCCCTGAATGTAATGACTGGAATTAAACTGTCATGCGACAGACTTTGATGGTGTTTCAGGATACAAAACCCAATTTTTAGGTGCAGTTTTCTGTTTCAGGTATGAGGCTGATCAGCTGCAGGGACTGAGGAACTCTGTGCGAATGGAGCTGCAAGAGTTGGAACTTCAGCTGGATGAGCGATTGATGACTCTTGAGGAGCAACTCCGCAATTACCACATCTCCTCACCTTTCCAGCATCAGGTGGCTATGGTAAGTCTTTGTTTTAAAGCTTCTGTCTGACTAGTTAGGATGGGTAATGTAATGTGATTCAGGATTATGTATTGTGAGCTTATTGTTTTTTTTTGGTCTTCTGTTTAGGGTATGTATGGAGGAAGAGGAAGTACTGACAGTCTGTTGTTCACCTCTCCCTTGAATGTCATAGAACCAGTAAGTTTCACACTATGTATATTAATTTGTTTTAGAGTCTAAGCTCAAAAAAGCATAATGCATGCAGGTTTTTTTTTTTTCTTTTTGGTTTTTATCAATCAAAAATATTTTATACATTTGCTAAAGGCATTTTCACACACACTCCAGTTAGTTTGGCACAGATGTGGTATTTTAGCTTTCACAATAGGAGGGTTGTTTGAAATCTTCATTCGCAGGTAAATAATCCTACATATAAATATATTTGTGTAATTAATGTGTGTGCAATCTATCTATCTTGTCTCTCTGTCTCTTACAGGGATGGTGTTGAATAATTGGATGTACAAATGCTAGGGTGTAGTCTGTTATGCTGGCCAAACATTATACAATTTTCTTATTCCGTTTCCTATAGATTTACCTTCAACTATGTAGTGCAGGGGCCATCCTGACTGCATACAAATTGAACGTGTTTATATTTGACCTCTCATTATATGGTTTTCGTAAATCTAAAGGAAAATTTGTATAAACAATGGGCAGCGTTCCAAATTATATCCTAAGTAAAAGACTATAGGCTAAGAGAATTCTTATAGAAAGGTTTCTGCCATTACATTTACCTATTATATTTAAACAGTGGGAGCACACTGTCCTTTGTCTGTAGATACCAGCCTTCCCTTGTTTACATAGACAAAAGTAATGACCAGCTTTTGTGGCACATAAATTGGCCTTGGTCATAGATGTATCGAATCTTGACTGGTTCAGCAGGGACTGGCCGAGATTCGATCTATTTGTGGGCAAGCTGGTTGTACTGAAGTCGATCCATCAATCAACTTCAGTACAACCAGCCTATTGGATACTTTTTCATGCAATCACTGCTATAGTCGCCAGCAGTGACCATTGTGTTCTGCCAGCAGGGAAGGATCCCCGTTGGCAGAATACAATAGTGCTGTGGGAGGGATTCATCCATCACTTGTAGATGGGGGACTCAAGCTATTTTTTTTCCTTCCACCCGTGGTAGATGGAAAGAAAATTGCATATTCTTTGGACTGCTTTACAACACCAGCAAATGTCTAATTTTCATTCCATAAATCTGGGCAGTTGGCTAATTAACACTTTTTCGTAAAAAGGAGCAAGGTTGTGGTAACACAAAATATTTGATAACGTATCCAGTCCTCAAGAACTAGTCTACTTGATTAGGTTCGTAAAAGCTGCCGCATCAATCTGTGTCTCTTGGTGTTAAGCTGGCTGTAGACGGTATTTATGTTTTTTCCTTCAGCCCTTCGGCTGAATGAAAGAATATTAACCGGTTCCTCCATTCACGCAAACGGGTTCAATGGAAGAATCCCATCTGCTGGAGCATTGTATTCTGACAGCATGATCTGCACTTGATTGAGGAAAAAAACCTAACTTATCCTTTGAACAGCAGTTGATCAACTTCCAAAGATCTTTACCAAGGTTTTCATGCTTTAGTGTAATACTAATTTGAGGTTGGCACTTTTAGTGTAATGACTACTGAGAGCAGATGTAAGAGTGCTGATAAAATAGTGATTTATGATGTCTTTTTAGTAGGTATTACTGATTACCTATTACCTTTTATCGGTAAATGCCTGCTGTGCTTAGAAAATTAAAAAAAAAAAAGCTAAGCCTTATTTTTGTTTGTAAATTGAATGTTTTAGAAATAATTTTAGGTAGAATTAATGAATAGAGTTAAAAGATCTGTTCATTTTAGTGATTTGAGCCTATTTTATTTGTGTAACCCTTCCCACCTTTAGTCCCTTGTATGATGACCCACAATGAGGGTACGTTAATCTGCAGCTTCCATTTGTCTGGTAGCAGCCAATACAGCAGCTGCTGCCACCTGTCAGACCGAGCTGTCACTGAGATCCCACTAAAGGTCAGGAACCAGTCCTGAATGTTTCATAATTGTATGGGGTCACCATTTCACCTATGGCATAGGAATTACAAAACTTTGCAGCTAAAATAAGCCTTCAGCCCTGGTATCATTTTTGGGTATAAATACAGTTAAAAAAGAAAACATGTTTCTGTATACATAAAGTTCTTTTTAACCACTTCTGGACCAGCAACGTACCTGTACTTCGCTGGACTTTTGCCGGGTATACCAGAGTGATGCCTACCGTTGTAGACATCACCTCTGTACTATTTTTTTTAGAGCCAGCAGTCCTCTCTCTTGTACAAGCAATCTCAGCTGCATGATTACTTGTACAAGCAGCAGGAAGGGACGTCTCCTCTCTGGGGATCTCCTGTTTCTAGTCAGCCGGAGACCCATGCAGTCAGCCGTAACACACCCTCCTGCTCATCCCAGATTTATTGGGGTGACCTGACATCAGTTCCAGTTTACTAGTGTACCCCCCCCCCCCCCCCCCCCCCCCCGTGCTCATATGTAAAGGCAAACACATGCGTGGTCCCACATGCAAACAGCGATTGTTCCACACATGTGAGGTATCACATAGGCAGTAATTCTAGCACTAGACCTCCTCTGTAAATTTATAGTGGTAACCTGTAAATGCTTTTAAAGTGTAGTCTATGAATAGTAAACTTTTACATTGTTTAAAAATGTGCACACCCGCACAACAACAGTGACAAAGTGTGACATGTTTGCTATCTATTTACTCGGCATAACATCATCTTTTATATTTTACAAAAAATTGGGTTATGACCCATTTGAGACATTTTTCCTTGCTCAAAGTGTTAAGCAAGGACACTGAGAAGCTACTGATTTTACAACAGTATTTTGTTTTCTTAGGTCAGGATTATTCCTTAAAAATATTCTTGGACAGATATTTATTTTTCTTCTTCATAGGTGTCTGAGTTGATTCGAGAACAGTCACACTTGAAGTCAGAGTTGGGCCTCGAAGACATTAGATTGGAACCCGGCGCCGACCAATGTGATTCTGTCTTATCTCAAGCAGCCTCTGATTCATCTTCAGTGTGCTCCAGTCCACGATATAGGAACAGGAAAGGTCCTCTAAACACTTATGACGTTGTTGATAAGTCTAAAGCACAAACCTCTCCCAGCAAAGCTGTATACCGTGCTTCTGTAGCTCTAACACCAAGTCCTCCAGTAAGAGCCAATCAGAATGCTACAACAGAAGAACCTGGAAACTTGGATTCAGCAGAGAGGTCAGAGTTGGAAACTGTGACACCTGTGTCTGAGGGAGGAACACGCTGGAGTCCTGAAGAAAGCAGAGAATTGCAGCAAGTAATACGAGAGGTATGTTTTATGGAGCTACATCTGACTAGATTAATAAATCACAACCTATGTTCACTGAGATTTTCATACTATGCAGCAGATCTATAAATCATTCCAAACTTAGAGCCACAAATGGTCATGGTTTCAAATTTCTTTTGCCTTTCCTGACTCATAGATGGGCATTTTATACACTAAAAACAGGCAGTTATAGTTCTTCCTTAAAGTCCCATTATTGCTGAAACTGTAAATGTTGAGGAGGCAATTGCATTGCAATAACTTGCCCTTTCAATAATTGATCATGTATGTTACTGCTTTCAAATATCAAGTGATTGTACTGCTGTAGTGCGATTTTACACATTTAAATCTGTATTGAATTCCAAAATTGTCTTAAAAGTGTTTACTTAATAAGTTTCAGCTGCATTAGCATTGGCAAAACAAACAAGTTGTTTATTCAACTTGAGCTTTAAATTGGCTGTTTAAGTTGTTAGGATTTAGTTGTCCACTATATCAGTGATTTCCAAACTGCGGCCCAGGAGCCAGATGTGGCCCTTTGCTTGCTTTTATCCAGCCCTTGGTATCAGTGGATGAAATGGTGCCCCAACAATGGGGCATATTTCCCCCCATTGACACCAAAGAAGGGGCATAATTCCTGCCAATGACACCAACAATGGGACCTAATTCTTCCCATTGACAACAACAATGGAGCCCAGTGACATCAATGATGAGCCACAATCCCTTCATACGACATAAAAAATGGGGCACTGTTTTTTCCAACTGAGGTCAAGACCTTTTCTACTCCCAATGACCACAGTCCGGCCCCCCTAAAGTCTAAAGGACAGTAAACTGGCCCTTTGTCTAGAAAGTTTGGAGACCCCTGCACTATATCCTTTATAGAGACACATACCTCTCCTATTGGAATCACGAGCCCTTGTTACCTGTGGTGACCTATTTATGGAATCCTAGTGTTACCATCGTTATCCTTGGAATGCTTACAAGCCTTTCATCCACCATGGATACCTATATTATTGTTACAAATATTTATAATGACCAAGCAGTTGGTTTGATAGTTTATAATTACATATGAGCAGCAATCAGCCCTAGTATAAGTAAACCTGGGGGCTTGCGGAGATATTTTTAATGTGTTGTGTGTGTTATTTGTACAGTAAAGTGAATTATCTATATGCTCTGGCCACAAGTATATATATTTTAGGTAAAGCTTTTTATATATAATATATTTTTTGCTCATCAAAATTAAAGGAACGCTTTTAAAACACATCAGATTTCAATGGGGAAATATATCATGCTAGATATCTATACTGATAAGGACTGGGTAATATGTCAGGAACATAAGGATGCCTCATCGTTTGATGGAAATGAAAATTATCAGCCTACAGAGAATTGAATTCAAAGACACCCCGAAAATCAAAGTGAAAAAATGATGCAGCAGGCTAGTCCATTTTGCCGACATTTCATTGCAGCAACTCAAAATGATTCTCAGTAGATTGTATGGGCCCTCACGTGCTTGTATGCATGCCTGACACCGACGGGGCATGCTCCTAATGAGACGACAGATGGTGTCCTGGGGCATTTCCTTCCAGAACTGGACCAGAGCATCACTGAGCTCCTGGACAGTCTGAGGTGCAACCTGGCAGCGTTGGATGGACCAAAACATGATATCCCAGAAGTGTTCTATTGGATCTAGGTCAGGCGAGCGTGGGGGCCATTCATTGGTATCAATTCCTTCATCCTTAAGGAACTGCCTGCTTGCTCTCGCCACATGAGGCCGGACATTGTCATACACCTGGAGGAACCCAGGACCCAATGCACTTGCGTAGGGTGTGACAATGAGTCCAAGGATTTCATCCCGATACCTAATGGCAGTCTCAGGGTGCCATTGTCTCTCTAGCCTATAGAGGTCTGTGCATCCCTCCTTTGATATGCCTCCTCAGACCATCACTGGCCCACCACCAAAAAGGTCATGCTGAATGATGTTACAGGTAACATATCGTTCTCCATGGCTTCTCCAGACCCTTTCACGTCTGTCACATGTGCTCAGGGTGAACCTGGTCTCATCTGTGAAAAGCACAGGGCACCAGTGGCGGGCCTGTTAATTCTGGTGTTCAATGGCAAATGCCAGCCAAGCTCTATGGTGCCGGTCAGTGAGCACAGGGCCTACTAGAGGACGTTGAGCCCTCAGCCCACCCTCATGAAGTCTGATTGTTTGGACAGACATTCATACCAGTGACCTGTTGGAAGTCATTTTGTAGGGCTCTGGCAGTGCTCATCCTGTTCCTCCTTGCACAAAGGAGTAGATACCGGTCCTGCTGATGAGTTAAGGACTTTCTATGGCCCTGTCCAGCTCTCCTAGAATACCTGCCTATCTCCTGGAATCTCCTTCATGCTCTTGAGACTGTGCTGGGAGACTCAGCAAACCTGCCAATGGCATGTATTGATGTGCCATCCTGGAGGAGTTGGACTGTCTGTGCATCCTCTGTAGGATCCAGATATCTCCTCATGTTACCAGTAGTGACACTGACCCTAGCCAAATGCAAAACTAGTGAAAAACAGAAAAGATGAGTAGGGAAAAAAATGTCAGTAGCCTCCACCTGTAAAACCATTCCTGTTTTGGAGGTCATCTCATTCTTGCCCATCTAGTGCACCTGTTGTTAATGAGTTTCAGCTGCTTTGGTGCAAATGAAATTAACAACCGCCTGTGCTACTTAACTGACCAGATCAATATCCCAGGGGTTTAATTGACTTGATGCTATGCTCTGATTAAAAAGCGTTCCTTTAAATTTTTGAGCGGTGTATATATAAAAAAAACCCACGCAAGTTGGTTGAGCCATAAACTTTTTTTTTTTCTTTCATTTTTTTTTTCATACAAATATTGATTAGTGGCTCCCAGATTGATTTGCAGGACTTAGGGCCTTGAGGCTGTTGGTTTTTGTTTCCTCAGTCCCTTTGTTTCATTAAGGCCTCTGGGGTCCTAGTCCCAAATTGTTCATGGGACCTCTACTGCCAATGAGTCCTAGGTACAGGCTTGGTCTGGTATTTAAGGGGCACCAGTTACTTTGAGCACTCTTTGGGGCAGATTGATTTCACTTGAAAGTAGGGATGCACCAAAAGTTTGGCAGCCGAAACGCTTTGCCCGAAAATACCCCTATCGGCCTTTGGCCGATATGAAAATAGACATTGATACAGGTGTAGCCCTGCTCCTGCCGCCCATCCCCTCCCACTCATCTGTATGACCTTGGAGGACTGGAGCAACGTCATTACATCACTTCCGGTTCCGGCGCCATGTAAACAAGGCCATTTTTTTTAAAGCACTAATGTTTGCATCCCTTGTGATAGGAATAAGTGATTAAAAAAAAAACGTAATTAAAAAAAAAACTGTTTACACACTGTCCCTTTTTTTTAATTTTTTTTTTTTTTTTTTTAACTACCACCATACCTCGTGCTCGCGCTCAAATGTGAATGCATGCGTAGACCATATCCACATATACTATATTGCCAAAAGTATTGGGACATCCTTCCAAATCATTGGATTCAGGTGTTCCAATCACCTCCATGGCCACAGGTGTATAAAATCAAGCACCTAAGCATGCAGACTACAAACATTTGGGAAAGAATGGGTCGCTCGCAGGAGCTCAGTGAATTCAAGTGTGGTACTGTGATAGGTTGCCACCTGTGCAATAAGTCCATCCAGGAAATTTCCTTGCTACTAAATATTCCACGGTCAACTGTTAGTGGTGGTATAACAAAGTGGAAGCAACTGGGAACAACAGCAACTCAGCCACCAAGTTGTAGGCCACGTAAAATGAGCGGGGTCAGCGCATACTGAAGCGCACAGTGCTCAGAAGTCGCCAACTGTCTGCAAAGTCAATAGCTAAAGACCTCCAAACTTCATGTGGCCTTCAGATTAGCACAACAACAATACATAGAGCGTTTCATGGACTGGGTTTCCATGGCCGAGCAACTGCATCCGAGCCTTACATCACCAAGTGCAATACAAAGCATCGGATGCATTGGTGTAAAGCACAACGCCTCTGGACTCTAGAGCAGTGGAGATGTGTTCTTTGGAGTGACCAACCATGCTTCTCTGTCTGGCCATGTCTGGGTTTGGCAGTTGCCAGGAGAACGGTACATGCCTGACTGCATTGCGCCAAGTGTAAAGTTTGGTGGAGGGGGATTATGATGTGGGGTTGTTTTCCAGGAACTGGGCTTGGCCGCTTAGTTCCAGTGAAGGGAACTCTTAAGGCATCAGCATATCAAGACATTTTGGACAATTGCATGCTCCCTACTTTGTGGATGGCCCCTTCCTGTTCCAACATAATTGCGCACCAGTGCACAAAGTAAGAGCCTTTAAGACATGGATGAGCGAGTTTGGGGTAGAGGAACTTGACTGGCCTGCACAGAGTCCCGACCTCAACCCGACAGAACACCTTTGGGATGAATTAGAGCAGGGACTGCGAGCCAGGCCTTCTCGTCCGACATCAGTGCCTGAGCTCAAAAATGCGCTTCTGGAAGAATGGTCAAACATTCCCATAGACACACTCCTAAACCTTGTGGACAGCCTTCCCAGAAGAGTTGAAGCTGTTATAGCTGCAAAGGGTGGGCCAGCTCAATATTGAACCCTATGGGCTAACACTGGGAAAGGCAGATTTACCAATACTTTTTGGCAATATAGTGTATGTAAACGGTGCTCAGACCACATCTGAGGTATCTGTAACTTTAAACTGGTAACTTGTTTAAATTTTAAAGCGTTACCCATGGAGATTTTTAAGTACCGTGTACAGTTTTAAAGCATGACATGTTGCGTTCCTATTTATTTGGCGTAACATCATATTTCATATTTTACAAAAATATTGGGGTGTATATTGTGTTCTGTTTTTTTATTTAATAAGGTGTATGTATTTCCTGAAAAATTGTGTATGAAAAAATATATACATTTTTAAAAACTGTCCATTTCGGTTTTCAGCCAAGTGCATCCTGAATTTTCGGTTTCGGCACCTGAATTTTCA